GAGACCATCAAAGATTATCTCACAGAGACTCGCGCAGAGACTCACGCAGAGACTATCACAGAGACTCGCACAGAGACATTCACAGAGACTCACACGTACTCACACAGACTTTCACAGAGACTCTCACAGAGACACTCACAGAGACTTACACAGAGCCTCACAGAGACCCACAGACGGACAGGGAGACTCACAGAGAGTCACAGACGGACATGGAGACTCACAGAGACTCACAGACGGACATGGAGACTCGCAGAGACTCACGGACGGACATGGAGACTCACAGAGACCCAGACGATATGGAGACTCACAGAGACCCAGACGACATGGAGACTCACACAGAGACTCACACAGACCCTCACACTCTCAGAGAGACCATAAAAGACTCTCACAGAGACTCACACAGAGACACTCACAGAGACTCTCACAGAGACCATCAAAGAGACTCTCACAGACACTCACACAGAGACACTCACAAAGACTCTCAGAGTCTCACAGAAACTGTCAGAGAGACCATCAAAGAGACTCACAGAGACCATCAAAGAGACTCTCACAGATGCTCTCGGAGACTCACAAAGAGATTCTCACAGAGACTCTCACAGACACTCACAGATACTCTCACAGAGACCATCAAAGAGATTCACAGAGACTCACACAGAGACACTCACAGAGACTCTCACAGAGACCATCAAAGATACTCTCACAGAGACTCGCGCAGAGACTCACGCAGAGACTATCACAGAGACTCACACAGAGACATTCACAGAGACTCACACGTACTCACACAGACTTTCACAGAGACTCTCACAGAGACACTCACAGAGACTTACACAGAGACTCACAGAGACCCACAGACGGACAGGGAGACTCACAGAGACTCACAGACGGACATGGAGACTCACAGAGACTCACGGACGGACATGGAGACTCGCAGAGACTCACGGACGGACATGGAGACTCACAGAGACCCAGACGACATGGAGACTCACAGAGACTCACAGACGGACATGGAGACTCACAGAGACCCAGACGACATGGAGAATCACAGAGACTCACAGACGGACATGGAGACTCACAGAGACTCACGGACGGACATGGAGACTCACAGAGACCCAGACGACATGGAGACTCACAGAGACTCACAGACGGACATGGAGACTCACAGAGACCCAGACGACATGGAGAATCACAGAGACTCACAGACGGACATGGAGACTCACAGAGACCCAGACGACATGGAGACTCAAAGAGACCCAGACGACATGGAGTCTCACAGAGACCCACAGACGGACATGGAGACTCACAGAGACCCAAACACGGACATGGAGTCACAGATACGCACAGACAAACATGGAGATTCATAGTGACCCACAGACGGACAAGGAGAATCACAGAGACCCACAGACGCACATGGAGACTCAGAGATTCACAGAGACCCACAGATGGGCATGGAGACTCACACAGAGACTCTCACAGAGATTCTCAGAGACTCACACAGAGACTCACACAGAGACTCTCACAGAGACCATCAAAGAGACTCACACAGAGACACTCTCATAGACTCTCACAGAGACACTCACAGAGACTCTCACAGAGACCATCAAAGAGACTCTCACAGAGACACTCACAGAGACACTCACAGAGACCATCAAAGAGACTCACACAGAGACACTCTCAGAGACTCTCACAGAGACTTTCAGAGAGATCATCAAAGAGACCATCAAAGAGACTCACACACATACTCACACAGACTCTCACAGAGACCCAAAGACGGACATTGAGACTCACAGAGGGACATGGAGACTCAAAGAGACCCAGACGACATGGAGACTCACAGAGACCCATAGACGGACATGGAGACTCACAGACACTCACAGACGGACATGGAGACTCACAGAGACTCACAGACGGACATGGAGACTCACAGAGACTCACACAGAGACGCACAGATACTCTCACAGAGACCATCAAAAAGACTCTGACAGAGACTCTCAGAGACTCACACGCAGATACTCACACAGAGACTCTCACATAGACCATCAAAGAGACAATCAAAGAGACTCACACAGAAGACTCTCAGAGAGACCATCAAAGAGACTCACGGAGACCATCAAAGAGCCTCTCACAGAGGCCCTCACAGAGACCCTCACACACTCACACAGACACACAGATACTCTCACAGAGACCCACAGACGGACATGGAGACTCACAGACGGACATTGAGACTCAGAGACCCAGACGACATGGAGACTCAAAGAGACCCAGACGACATGGAGACTCAGAGAGATTCATAGACGGACATGGAGGCTCACAGACCCAGACGACGTGGAGACTCACAGATACTCAAAGACGGACATGGAGACTCACAGAGACCCAGACGACATGGAGACACACAGAGACTCACAGACGGACATGGAGACTCACAGAGACCCAGACGACATGGAGACTCAAAGAGACCCAGACGACATGGAGACTCACAGAGACTCACAGACGGACATGGAGACTCACAGAGAGTCACAGACGGACATGGAGACTCACAGAGACCCAGACGACATGGAGACACACAGAGAGTCACAGACGGACATGGAGACTCACAGAGTCCCAGACGACATGGAGACTCAAAGAGACCCAGACGACATGGAGACTCACAGAGACTCACAGACGGACATGGAGACTCACATTCACAGACGGACATGGAGACACACAGAGACCCAAATACGGACATGGAGTCATAGATACTCACAGACGAACATGGAGATTCATAGAGACCCACAGACGGACATGGAGACTCACAGAGACCCACAGATGGACATGGAGACTCTCACAGAGACTCACACAGAGACAATCAAAGAGACTCTCACAGAGATTCTCACAGAGACTCTCACAGAGCCCATCAAAGAGACTCTCACAGAGACTCACACAGAGACACTATCAGAGACTCTCACAGAGACACTCACAGAGACTCACACAGAGACTCTCAGAGACTCACAGAGAGACCATCAAAGAGACTCACACAGAGGCTCTCGGAGACTCTCAGAGACTCTCACACAGACACTTACAGATACTCTCACAGAGACCATCAAAGAGACTCTCACACTCACACACTGAGACTCATGCAGCGACAAACACAGACTCACGCAGAGACTCACACAGACTCTCGCAGAAACACACACAGAGACCATCAAAGATACGCTCACAGAGACTCTCAGAGACTCGCGGAGAGACTCAGACAGAGACTAACACAGAGACTCACACAGACTCTCACAGAGACACATACAGAGACTCAAAGAGACACTCACAGATACTCTCACAGAGACCATCAAAGAGACCCTCAGAGACTCACACAAAGACACTCAGAGACTCGCAGAGACTCACATACTCTCAAAGAGACCATCAAAGAGACTCACAGAGACCATCAAAGAGACTCTCACAGAGGCTCTCGGAGACTCACACAGAGACTCTCACACACAGACTCACGCAGAGACTCGCGCAGAGACTCACACAGAGACACTTACAGAGAACATCAAATATACACTCACAGAGACACTCACAGAGACTCACACAGATACTCACACAGACTCTCACGGAGACACTCACAGAGACCCACAGACGGACCTGGAGACTCACAGAGACCCACAGACGGACCTGGAGACTCACAGAGACCCACAGACGGACATGGAGACTCACAGAGACTCACACAGAGACTCGCACAGACTCTCACACTCTGAGAGAGACCATAAGAGACTCACAGAGACCATCAAAGAGACTCTCACAGAGACTCACACAGAGACACTCACAAAGACTCTCAGAGACTCACAGAAACTCTCAGAGAGACCATCAAAGATACTCTCACAGAGACTCTCACAGACACTCATAGATACTCTCACAGAGACCATCAAAGAGATTCTCAGAGACTCACACAGAGACACTCACAGAGACTCTAAGAGACCATCAAAGATACTCTCACAGAGACTCACACAGAGACATTCACAGAGACTCACACGTACTCACACAGACTTTCACAGAGACTCTCACAGAGACACTCACAGAGACCCACAGACGGACAGGGAGACTCACAGACGGACATGGAGACTCACAGAGACTCAGACGGACATGGAGACGCACAGACACTCACAGACGGACATGGAGACTCACAGAGACTCACAGACGGACATGGAGACTCACAGACACTCACAGACGGACATGGAGACACAGAGACCGACGGACGGACATGGAGTCAAAGAGACTCACAGACGGACATGGAGACTCATGGAGACCCACAGACGGACATGGAGACTCACAGAGACCCACAGACGAACATGGAGACTCACAGAGACTCACAGACACCCACAGATGGACATGGAGACTCTCACAGAGACTCACACAGATACTCTCACAGAGACTCTGTGTCACAGAGACTCACAGAGACTCGCGCAGAGACTCATACAGAGACTCACACAAAAAGACTCGCACAGAAACTCTCACAGAAACACACAGACTCACGCAGATACTCACAGAGACTCACACACACTCACAGAGACTCTCACATAGACCATCAAAGAGACTCAGAGACTCTCAGAGACTCACATAGAGACTCTCAGAGAGACCATCAAAGAGACTAACAGAGACCATTCAAGAGACTCTCACAGAGACTCACACAGAGACAGTCACAGAGACACTCACAGAGACTCTCACAGAGACTCACAGACAGACATGGAGACTCACCAAGACTCAAGAAGGTGAACGATGGACAGCCGTAGGAATTTACCGGCTCACAAACCACAACAGCCTCATCACCGGTAGCTTTATTGTGCGAGTGGCTCTGTGTGTGTTTGCGCGAGTCAAAGGTGGACTAAGGAACTCAGAGAGATGCTCCCTTGGAATTACACCCGGACACAGTGAAGAGGGTCACGCGGACGAGACAGCACACACCACAGGTTAGAGACACGACCTCCACACGGTCAAGAAAAGTCATCACGGGCTCGAGGCAAGATGCGTCCGCGATGGCCGACGGGGTCAAAAATGAGCGAACAGGAGAGGGAAAGCGCCCAAGGTGGCGTCCGATGGAGGTGCGGCAATGGAATCGACTCTGTGCGTGTGCGCGTGTGTGTGCATGTGTGCGCGTGTGTGTGCGTGTGTGTGCGTTTGGGGAGCGGTAGTGTAGCGGTTAGCGCTACGCTACGCTATGAACCTGGCGACCCGGGTTCGATTCCCGCTCACGGCCAACACCCAGTGACGATGATCTGAACCGGTCCCGGGCCTCCCCTAGGTCGACTCAGCCTCAAATGAGTACCTGGTGCGGTGTGTAAACATTGCCACTAGGGAGACAAAGGCGGTCGGGCGTGGTGCTGGCCACCCACCCCCTCGTGTACCGTTCCGGCCTTCATAGGTGCTCGCTAACAGCACTTGCCCCTACAGTCTGTTAAGGCTATATGGAAAATCTTTGTTGTGTGTGTGCGTGTGTGTGCGCGTGTGTGTGCGCGTGTGTGTGCGCGTGTGTGTGCGCGTGTGTGTGTGTGTGCTGCTAGGTGGTTCTCAGGATCACGAGGTGGTGGTGGCGGCAGCCTGGGGGGGGGGGGGGGGGGGGGGTGGGGGCTGGGGGGCGTCATCCTGCGGTGCACCGATCTTTCTCAACCCGTAAACCCCGCCGCTTGCACGGCAGAGAGAAGGCAGCGACTCGACTCTCGGTATTCGCGAGGAGGCCGCCGCAGACAAAGAGGGATGCAGTCAAATCGGCAAGCCGACGGCAAAAAATACCCCCAAGCTCCGCGGTCCTCTGCAATGTTGAGGTGTCGTCGGCCAATTAACGGGCGTTAAGGCGTAGGAGGAAACCGGGAAAACCCACGCATGAGAGGGGGAAACACTCTATCCCGTACGGAACAGGTGCGGCCGCTGCCTCCGCCCAGTGCCGCATTACAGGCCACGTGCATAGCCAGCACGGCCCGGGCGATGGACGACAGGCGTGATGCTGATGATGATGATGTGATGAGTAACAGGACGGGGGGGGGGGGGGGGGGGGGGAGGCGTTCTACTCGGTGTCCCGGGGTGTCGGGGTGCCTGGACCCGCGCTTCATCCCGGCTCTCCGACCAATCCTCACGCTCGCTCGCAGGAAACCCGTGGGTAAATGACGTTGGGAGGGAAAACCAAAAAAATACGAACAGCGCCGTGCCAAGCGCCGCCGACGACGACGACAAAGGGGACCCCAAGGCTCCAGCTGTCCGTGTGTCCCCGTGTCGACTGGCACACCCAAACAGGGCCGGTGCGGGGCCTTGACCCGCACCGGCTGTTTGCCGTGCCGTGCCGGAACCGGAACCAAACTGCGACACGCCCGCCGGCCTCGACTTAAAAAAACAAAAATTAGCATCCACGACGACCCTACGAATAATGTAACAAACCTCGCGATGGTGTGTTAAGCACAGAGGAGGAGATGCAGGGCCAGCCAGGGGCGGGGCTTCTCAATCGTTCGCGAGACGTCGGTCGGGACCGCAACCCGCCGCCTGAGGAGTCTGGAGGCCCCCAGCCCCCTTGGGGCGGGGGCAATGGGCTGCCAGCCAGTTCTGGGCGATGATTACCGACAATAATCCCAATTGGGGCGAGCAACATGCGGTGTAATTTTTTCCCCCAACTTCAGGTACATTTGGAGACGCGACGGCCCGCTCCTGCGAAGTGACGGGGATGGTGAACGTCCGCTTGCGAGCAAAGCAGACGGCACGTAGTAGTAGTAGTAGTAAGTTTAATAAACCCGCGGTATTAACCAGGGCGGCCGCTGGTTCCGAACACCGGGGCCGAGTCACCGTCGCGTGGTTCGATTTGTGCGGTGGGGGAAAAAGGAAAAAAAAAGAAACAGCTTTTTAATATTTATATATATAATCGTCTTAAACCAAACTACAAACCATTGTACAAAGTGGCCGTGAAGCAAGCGATTTGTGCTAAACCTACCTCGAGCGACTCGCACGGCAACGGGCGAGACGGCGCCCCCGGGGGGCAACGCGGCGACGACGACGACACGAGGGTGGGGGCGGCCGCAGCGCCTCTCAACCCGCGCCTCTCAACCCGCCCTTCTCAACCCGCGCCTCTCAACTCTCGCCTCTCAACTGGCGCCTCTCAACTCGTGCTTCTCAACTCGCGCCTCTCATCTCTCGCGCCTCTCAACCCGCGCCTCTCAACTCTCGCCTCTCAACTGGCGCCTCTCAACCCGCGCCTCTCAACCCGCGCCTCTCAACTCTCGCCTCTCAACTGGCGCCTCTCAACTCTCGCCTCTCAACCCGCGCCTCTCAACTCTCGCCTCTCAACTGGCGCCTCTCAACTCGCGCTTCTCAACTCGCGCCTCTCATCTCTCGCGCCTCTCAACCCGCGCCTCTCAACTCTCGCCTCTCAACTGGCGCCTCTCAACCCGCGCCTCTCAACCCGCGCTTCTCAACTCGCGCCTCTCATCTCTCGCACCTCTCAACCCGCGCCTCTCAACTCTCGCCTCTCAACTGGCGCCTCTCAACCCGCGCCTCTCAACCCGCGCTTCTCAACTCGCGCCTCTCATCTCTCGCGCCTCTCAACCCGCGCCTCTCAACCCGCGCCTCTCAACCCGCGCCTCTCAACTCGCCCCTCTCAACCCGCGCCTCTCAACCCGCGCCTCTCAACTCGCCCATCTCAACCCGCGCCTCTCAACCCGCGCCTCTCAACTCGCGCCTCTCAACCCGCGCCTCTCAACTCGCCCCTCTCAACTCGCCCCTCTCAACTCGCGCCTCTCAACCCGCGCCTCTCAACCCGCGCCTCTCAACCCGCGCCTCTCAACCCGCGCCTCTCAACCCGCGCCTCTCAACCCGCGCCTCTCAACCCGCGCCTCTCAACCCGCGCCTCTCAACCCGCGCCTCTCAACCCGCGCCTCTCAACCCGCGCCTCTCAACTGGCGCCCCTCAACTCGCGCCTCTCAACTCGCGCCCCTCAACGCAAGGCAGAGGGTTTGTCGAGACGGTGCGCGTGTGTGTGCATGCGTGTGTGCATGCGTGTGCATGTGCGTGCGCGTGTGTGCATGCGTGTGTGTGTGTGCTCGCGAGCTGTGTGCGTGCATGTCACCTGGCCTTGGGCATAGCTGCCGCTGTGTGGAGGGGCCGCGTGATGGTCGACGCGTCGCCCTACGAACCCAGCGACCCCAGTTCGATTCCCGCTCGCGGCCAACACCAGTGCCGCAAATCTGAACCGGTCCTGGCCCTCCCTCCCCTAGGCCGACTCGGCCTCAAACGAGTACCTGGTGCGGTGTGCAAACATCGCCACTGGGGAGACAAAGGCGGCTGGGAGTAGGTGCTGGCCACCCACCCCCTCGTGCGCCGTATCGGCCTTCATAGGTGCTACTCGCCAACAGCACTTGCTCCTAATCTGTTGACGCTACACGGGGGATCTTTGTCTTTATACACGTGTGTGTGTGTGTGTGTGCGTGCGCGCGTATTATATCATTGTTCACAAATTTGACATTTCACAAAATGTACGAGACTGCATTGGCTGTGGGTGCACCAGCAAACAAACGACAAAAGCCTCAACCCATTCTTCAACAAGCACAGCGGTGCCATGAAGAGGGTCCGTTGCCCGAAACGTCACCGATTACACACGTGCGTATTTTTTAGCTTTCGCCTCGACGCGCGGCGTCATTCACAAGAGACGCGTGGAGCGCCCGCCCGCCCGCTCGCTCGCCCGCTCGCTCGCAGCGACGAAGTCTTCCTCGCGCTCGCCAAACTCGCCATCGTCCAGATCGCGGCGATGCGTTTAAACCCCCCCCAAAAAAAAATTGAGTGAAAGCTTTCAAGGCCTCGGCTTTAAAACCCAGGAGACCTCCACCGCCTTCGCTGGGCGTGAAGTGGCCTCTCGTGTTCAGCAGGCGATCGCTTTCACAGTCTACCCTAGCGAGTCGGATAGGCGGCGTTGTACTCCCCCCCCCCCCCCCCCCCCCCCCCCCCCATCAGCGTCCACAATGAGCACCCCCACAACCCCCGAGTGGGTGAATGTCTCCACGATTACCGTGTTCTCCCGATACGAGACGCTCCGGAAAGTTGGGACGCGCCGCAAAAGACTTGTCCCGGTGGCAATGAAAGTCGCAAAGTTCTCTGGAGGACAAAGATCCCCCCCCCCCCGTGTAGCCTTCAAGAGTCTGGGGCAAGTGCTGCCAGCGAGCATCTGACGAAGGCCGACGCGGCATAATGCGGTGGCGTGGTCAGAATCGTGCTCGACCACCTTGGCCCCACCAGTTGCTGACGTTTACACAGCACACCAGGTACTCGTTTCTTCAGCCTATCCCACCCTGGCTGAGGTCCAATAGTCGGGCTCAGATATTCGCCACCGATGTTGGCCGTGAGTGGGAATCGAACTCGAGTCGCCGGCTTTTGCAGCACGGTGTGCTAACCACTGCGCCACCGCTCCCCGCAGCGCACACGCACCCCTCTTACCTGTCGAGTTAAAATACACGAAGAAGCACAGGCGAGAGGACTTTTGCGATCCAGAGACCCGACCCGACCCATCAAACGCAACTGCCGCAACCCAATTTGACGATGGCCCTGACCTGGTGCGAGCCCACAGCGGGGTAAGGGGCCCCCCCCCCCCCCCCCCCCCCCCCGTGCCAACGAGTTCCCGACTCCCCGACGCTGAACGACGGACGGGGCCAATTATCTCCCCCCATCTTCCCCCCCCACCGCAGGAATCAAACCGTGCTACGCCGGCCTCACAAGACGTCATCCGAATCTGGGTGCGGGGGTGGGGAGCCAAGCAGGGCCAGGGGGTGGGGCTAACGTGCGACGCAACTGCCGAGCGCGATGACGAGCGTGTCGGGGGGGGGGGGGGGGGGGGGGGGGGGACGCGGCGACGTGTGGAAGTGACGCGGCGTTGCTAGCAGCCGTCGCCACCCGCGCGCGAGCGCTCTGCTGTCGACCAGAGCGAAGCGAAATGTTGCCGTTGTCGTTGCTGGAAAGGTCGCGAGGAGGTCGTGAGCTTGTGAACGCGAGGGATGCGCGCCTGTCCTGTTACTTGGGGTCCTTGGTGGGAGCGTAGTAGAGCTCCATGGGTTTGTTGACCTTCCAGTATTTCTCGTTCACCTTGTCCAGAGACAGGGAGCCGTTCAGGGTCTGTGCGCGTCGACACGGCAGACACGCACACGTTAGCACGTGCACCAGGGCAAACGCACATACGCGTTACCCGCAGCTGTACGCACACGCACATACACGTAACTATACTACACACCGCACCAGGTACTCGTTTGAGGCTGTGTCGACCTCGGGGAGGCCCAGCACCGGTTCAGATAATCGTCACTGTTGGTGTTGGTGGCCGTGAGCGGGAATAAAACTCGGGTGGCCGGGTTCGTAGCACAGCGCGCTAACTGCTACACTACTGCTCCCCAAAGACAAAGATGTCCCGTATAGCCTTAAGCGACTGTTGGGGCAAGTGCTGTTAGCGAGCACCTATAAAGGTCAGAATGGCACACGAGGGGGTGGGTGGCCAGCACCACGCCCGGCCGCCTTTGTCTCCCCAGTGGCGATGTTTTTACACACCGCACCAGGTACTCATTTGAGGCCGAGTCGACCTAGGGGAGGCCCGTGACCGGTTCAGATAATCGTCAACGGTGTTGGCCGTGAGCGGGAATCGAACTCAGGTCGCCGGGTTCTTAGAGCAGCGTAGCGCTAACCGCTACACCACCGCTCCCCACAAACGCTACACCACCGCTCCCCGCTAACCGCTACACCACTGCTCCCCGCTAACCGCTACACCACCGCTCCCCACAAACGCTACACCACCGCTCCCCGCTAACCGCTACACCACCGCTCCTCACAAACGCTACACCACCGCTCCCCGCTAACCGCTACACCACCGCTCCTCACAAACGCTACACCATCGCTCCCCGCTAACCGCTACACCACCGCTCCCCACAAACGCTACACCACCGCTCCCCACAAACGCTACACCACCGCTCCCCACAAACGCTACACCACCGCTCCCCGCTAACCGCTACACCACCGCTCCCACAAACGCTACACCACCGCTCCCCGCTAACCGCCGCTCCCCACAAACGCTACACCATCGCTCCCCACAAACGCTACACCACCGCTCCCCGCTAACCGCTACACCACCGCTCCCCACAAACGCTACACCACCGCTCCCCGCTAACCGCTACACCACCGCTCCTCACAAACGCTACACCACCGCTCCCCGCTAACCGCTACACCACCGCTCTCCACAAACGCTACACCACCGCTCCCCACAAACGCTACACCACCGCTCCCCGCTAACCGCTACACCACCCGCTCCCCACAAACGCTACACCATCGCTCCCCGCTAACCGCTACACCACCGCTCCCCACATACGCTACACCACCCGCTCCCCGCTAACCGCTACACCACCGCTCCCCGCTAACCGCTACACTACCGCTCCCCACAAACCGCTACACTACCGCTCCTCACAAACGCTACACCACCGCTCCCCGCTAACCGCTACACCACCGCTCCCCACAAACGCTACACCACCCCTCCCCGCTAACCGCTACACCACCGCTCCCCACAAACGCATGCACGCACCATCTCTGCCCAGAGCCTTTCCTGGCCTCAGGCGGCTCACTTCCACTCTCTCACACACTCACACAATCACACAATCACATGACACTCTCTCTAACTCACACACACAGTGCAGGGCCTCACAGTGAACTGCCCTCCCGTGGTGGCGATATAGATGGTGTACTGCTTCTCGCTGGCGCCCTCCACCGTGCCCGCCGCCTTGCCCGCCGGCCCCACCCTCTGCTGCTCCTCCAGCGCCAGCCGCATCGCCAGGTACTTGGACAGGTGGTCCACGGTGGCATTGGCGGTCGTCTTGATGAACCTGCCGAGACGGGGGGGGAGGGGGTGGGGGAGGAGGGTCGAAGCGGCGGAGTCAGGGGACAGAGAGCTGGGAGATCCCCACCGAGGGCGCCGTCGTGTCGAACTCCGAGGGCCGGCCGGGGGCAATGGCGGCTTCCGCTGCCCCGGCTCTAGCGACGCACTGAGGGGGAGGGGGTTGATGGATCACACACGCTTGTGAAACTCCCGCAACTCCGGCACCCGTCAAGGGCACCGCCTTCTGACAAGAGCGTGATGATGGCAGGACGGCAAGTGGGTTCCCTTGCGTGTCTGTGTGCGGATTTGCCATCACCTGCCCACCCACCACCGCGGCGATGTGACCGCCACATAGCGGCGAGTGGCAGTTGTTGTTGTTGTTGTGTGTGTGTGTGTGCATGTGTGTACTTTGCGGTTTCAGGAAAGGGCGGTCCTGCACAGATGCCATATTTTCTGTCCGTCTGCTACAGCAGAGGTGTAGGGAATTCCAACAAGACCTACATCTCTGCTTTATTGACCTGGTCAAGGCCTATGATACCATCAGTAGGCCTGGGCTCTGGGTCGTTCTTCGTGCTTTTGGAGTACCTGACCCTCTGCTCACGATCATTAAGGACCTTCATGATGGTGAGCGGGCCCGGGTAAAACTACGTGGCCGGGAGTCAGAGCCATTCCCTGTACACCTTGGGGTGCGACAGGGATGTCCTCTGGCTCCCACATTATTTAACATCTATTTTGACCACGTAGTTCGCGAAGCCTTCAATAGCTGTACCGGGGGAATCTCCATATGGTACAGATATAATGGGAGGCTGATCGATGCCCGGGTGCGGTCAAGGGATGTCTCCCTATTAGGTCAACCACGTTATGTATGCTGATGATTTGGTAATAGCTGGTCAGTCAGAGGAGGAGTTGGAGACGCTGCTGCTGCTGAGACTGGAGCGTGCCACTAAGAGGTGGGGCCTTACCATCAGCCCCACCAAAACTAAGCACCTGCCTGGGTATTTTGTACCATCGGACACTCCACCCCCACAACTCCCAATCGGTGATGGGGCAGTTGTGGAGAGAGTGGAGAGTTTCCCATACCTGGGCAGTGTGCTTATGACTGGCTCCAGTTTAACAGCAGAGGTCTCACTCCGAATCAGTCGAGCGGCAATATCTTTTCATCGGTTGCGTAACGCTGTGTGGAAGCTACCTGGTCTGTCGCTCCACACAAAGCTTCGGGTCTTCTCAGCAACGGTCATTCCCTCCCTTCTCTACGCTTGCGAAACGTGGACCCCCCTAATGGAACATCTTCGCCGGTTAGAAACATTTAGGCTGGCCTGCCTACGATCCATCCTGGGTTTAACCAGACTGGATTGTGTGAGGAGCTCACAAATCCTTGAAAGATCTGGGCAAGGTCCCATCGGTGAGCTCCTCCGGCGGGCAAGGCTGCGATGGCTGGGTCATGTAGCCCGCATGCCCAGCCAACGCATGCTGAAACAGCTTTTGATCGGCCGGATTGAGGGGGCTAAGCGGGCGCGGCACGGGCTAGAGAAGAGATGGAGTGATGTGGTACAGGAGGACGTGGAGCTGAGTGGACTTGCCGATGACTGGTACCAGCGGTGTCAAGATCGACCTCTGTGGAGGAGGCTCGTGAAGGATGCTACTGGGCAGTTGGAGGAAGTCGCCCTCCAACAACAACGAAGGGCGGAGGAGAGACGCTCACAACAACGAGCGGAGCGCCGGGTGGCTGAAAGCACAGCAGGTTGGCACAGTAGGGGGCACAGGTGGTGCATCAGCCAGTCATCTCGGTCATCTCAGTCAGTCGACCCGTGGCACCTGGGTCTGCCCCGTGACCTCCTGCCAGCGGGCGTTCGACACTTGACGTGGCCTCAGCGTGCACATAGCCTGGCACAAGCGTCGTGGTGACGTCACCGCCACTTAGTGGCGAATGGCGGTTGTTGTTGTTGTGTGTTAGTGTGTGAGTGTGTGTGTTAGTGTGTGAGTGTGTGTGTGAGTGTGTGTGTTAGTGTGTGTGTTAGTGTGTGGCGAATGGCGGTTGTTGTTGTTGTACCTTGCACTACTATCATGTTTTTGTGTTGTTTACTGTTGTAACGTTCTCATAGCTCATCGGATTCCGTGTGTGTGTGTGTGCGCGTGGACCAAGACACTCCCCACCACCCACCCACCCAACCCCCCCTCCCGGAGCACTTCCGCACCGCCTCACCGCGTCTGCGACTGCTCCCGGTTCTCCACGAGCGTCGGGTGAGGCCTGAACACCAGCTCGATCTCGCTGGCGCCGGGGTCCCCCGAAGGGTCCCCGCCGCCCCCGACCGCCGCCGCCGCCACCTCCAGCGACAGCGCCGCCGCCGCCGCCGCCGCCGCCGCCGCGGCCGCGGCCGCGCCGCCACCGCCGCCCGTGCTGCCGCCGCCGCCGCCACCGTGGCCGTGGCCCAGGCCAACGCACACGCCGAGGGCTTGGGCAGCGGCTCCTCCTCCTCCTCCTCCGGTCGTGCTCCCTCCGCCACCGCCGCCACCTAGGGTCGGGTGGGTGAACGCGACATCGAAAGTCGGACTCGTGCAAGCTCCTGCACGATTAAAGGCCCCCGCCCAACGCCGACCAGAAACGCCCGGTCACGCTCGCCGGCGCACCGCGGCAAACCGCACCGCGGCAAACCGCACCTCCGACTGCGCCGCCGCCGCCGCCGCCGGCGCCGCCGCCGCCGCCGGCGCCGTGCGACGGGGCGTGGCCGTCCGAGAGCTCCGGGCCCGAGGCGTCCGAGTCGGCGCGCGAGCGCTTGCGGCTGGGCCCGGCCTCGGGCAGCGTGGAGTGCGTGGAGGCGTTGCTGGCGTGCGAGCTGTCGCCACCGTTCTCCTCGCCGCCACTGCACGCAGGGTTCTCGGCGTCCGCCTGCTGCTTGCGCACGCGCTGGGCGCTGCGGAGAAGGGGGACGGACGGAGGGAGGGAGGTCAAGGCGGCGGGGTGGTGCCGACGACGCGGCGTCGCAGCGGCCGACTGGGTGGTGCGAGAGAGCGCGTGGGAACGAACGAACGAACGAGCGGACGAGCGGACGAACGGACGAACGAGCGGACGGGTGGGTGAGAGGGGGAGCGGGCGAGGCAACGGGGGTGAGCGAACGGAGCGCTTCCAAGAGCGAGAGGAGCGCGTCGGCAAGCCAGCGACTGGCTAAAATGAGCGAGCAAGGCGACTGAACGAGCGAGCGAGCGAGCGAGCGAGCGATCACGCGAGCGGGCGAGCGGACAGGCGAGCGAACCAACGGGCGAGTGAAATTGTGCGAGCGAAAGGGCGAGGGGCGGTCGAGCGAGCGGCAGTCCGCACCGGTTCTGCGCCTGCATCTTGAGCCCCTCGGCGATGGAGACGCTGAGAGCATGCTGGTTGTGGTGCTTCTGCAGGCGGTTGAGCACGCGCTCCTGGATGGCCTCGTACTCCTCGCGGCTCGGGTAGATCTTCGAGATGAGAGCGTCGAAGTTGGGGTCGGGCCGCAGCGAGCGCTTCGACACCAGCTTCTTGCGGCACGTGGGGCATTCTTTGTTCCTGCGCGGGGCAACGGGAGGAACGTAACCAAGCGTTGGGACGCCACGACGCGGAGTGGAACGGAACAAAGAGTGGAACGGAACAGTGGATGGGAACCAATAGCGGAACGGTAACGAAGGGAGGAACAGAACGAAGAGTGTGATAAAGTAAATAGCGGAATAAGAACTCCGGTTGGAGTGATGAGAAGTGGCAATATCCTCGTCGTGCTTTGCGCCAGGCTTAATAGGCGCTCGCTCACGGCACTTTCCCCAACAGTCTACTCGGTGCTACACAGGAGACCTCAGTCCGTGTGTGCGAGTGTATATATGTGTTAGCATGCCAATTGTGCCCTTTAACACGGGTACCCCTTCGCGTACGTGGGCACGCGCGCGCGTGTACTAGCTGTCCCGTGACTGCCCGTCAGCGAGCCTTCGCCACATCACGTGGCCTCAAGGTGCACCCGAGCCTGGCTCAAGCAATGTGGTGCAGTCACCACCGCATAGCGGCAAATGGCTGCTGCTGTTGTTGCTGTGCGAGAGAGTTGTGAGCGGTGGTGGTGTGACTAGTCGTGGTGTGAGTGGTGGTGGTGGTGGTGGTGTGAGAGGTGGTGGTGTGAGTGGTGGTGGTGGTGGTGTGAGTGGTGGTGGTGTGGTGGTGGTGTGGTGGTGGTGTGAGTGGTGGTGTGAGTGGTGGTGTGAGTGGTGCTGTGTGTGGTGGTGCTGTGTGTGGTGGTGCTGTGTGTGGTGGTGGTGGTGGTAATGCTGTGTGTGGTGGTGGTGTGTGTGGTGGTGCTGTGTGTGATGGTGCTGTGTGTGATGCTGTGATTGTTGTGGTGCTGTGTGTGATGGTGGTGATGCTGTGTGTGATGGTGGTGGTGCTGTGTGTGATGGTGGTGGTGTTGTGTGTGGTGGTGGTGATGCTGTGTGTGATGGTAGTGGTGCTGTGTGGTGGTGGTGGTGCTGTGTGATGGTGGTGCTGCTGTTTGTGGTGGTGGTGCTGTGTGTGATGGTGGTGACGCTGTGTGTGGTGCTGTGTGTGATGGTGGTGCTGTGTGATGGTGGTGATGCTGTGTGTGATGGTGGTGATGCTGTGTGTGATGGTGGTGATGCTGTGTGTGATGGTAGTGGTGCTGTGTGGTGGTGGTGTTGTGTGTGGTGGTGGTGCTGTGTGTGGTGGTGGTGCTATGTGTGGTGGTGGTGCTGCGTGTGATGGTGGTGACGCTGTGTGTGGTGGTGCTGTGGTGTGTGGTGGTGGTTGTGGTGCTGTGTGTGGTGGTGGTTGTGGTGCTGTGTGTGATGGTGGTGCTGTGTGTGGTGGTGCTGTGTGTGGTGGTGGTGGTGCTGTGTGTGGTGGTGGTGGTGCTGTGTGGTGGTGGTGGCGTTGTGTGTGATGGTGGTGACGCTGTGTGTGGTGCTGTGTGTGATGGTGGTGCTGTGTGTGGTGGTGGTGGTGCTGTGTGTGGTGGTGTTGTGTGTGGTGGTGGTGGTGGTGCTGTGTGTGAGTGGTGGTGGTGATGCTGTGTGTGGTGGTGGTGTTGTGTGTGGTGGTGCTGTGTGTGATGGTGCTGTGTGTGATGCTGTGATTGTTGTGGTGCTGTGTGTGATGGTGGTGATGCTGTGTGTGATGGTGGTGGTGCTGTGTGTGATGGTGGTGGAGCTGTGTGTGGTGGTGGTGGTGCTGTGTGTAGTGGTGGTGCTGCGTGTGGTGGTGGTGTTGTGTGTGGTGGTGGTGGTGTTTTGTGTGGTGGTGGTGGAGCTGTGTGTTATGGTGGTGGAGCTGTGTGTGATGGTGGTGATGCTGTGTGTGATGGTGGTGGTGCTGCGTGTGGTGGTGGTGCTGTGTGTGGTGGTGGTGTGAGTGGTGGTGGTGGTGATGCTGTGTGTGGTGGTGCTGTGTGTGATGGTAGTGGTGCTGTGTGGTGGTGGTTCTGTGTGTGATGGTAGTGGTGCTGTGTGGTGGTGGTGCTGTGTGTGATGGTAGTGGTGCTGTGTGTGGTGGTGCTGTGTGTGGTAGTGGTGCTGTGTGTGATGGTAGTGGTGCTGTGTGGTGGTGGTTCTGTGTGTGATGGTAGTGGTGCTGTGTGGTTATGGTGCTGTGTGTGGTGGTGCTGTGTGTGATGGTAGTGGTGCTGTGTGTGGTGGTGCTGTGTGTGGTGGTTCTTTGGCCTCAGGGTGCACATAGCCTGGCACAAGCGTCGTGGTGACGTCACCGTCTCTTAGTGGCGAATGGCGGTTGTTGTTGGTGGTGCTTTGTGTGGTGGTGGTGGTGAGTGCGTGCTGGTGGTGGGGAGTCTGTGTGAAAGCGAGTGTGTGTGAAGGTAGGTGCTTGTAGTCTCTTGTGGGCTATACAGGGGGATCTTTACATGTGGGTACATGTATCTAGATGTTTTATTAATGCCCATTAATATAGCGTTAATTATCGTTCGACTCTTATCTTTGTTTCACGTTTTGCTCGGCGGTTTGTTTTTGGTGCGCATTTCCTTTCGTCCGCGTGCGTGCGAGCCAACACGTCCCTCCGTACAGTATCCGTATTATTTGTCTGTGCATTATTTGTGTCCTTGTGTCTGTGCGTTTGTTCGTGCCTGTTTGTGTGTGCGTTGTATTGTTCTAATGTGGTGTACTGTATGCAGCAGCGCGCGATGCAGACTCGTGTGGACAACCGTACAGTGCTCAACAGCGGGGTGTACTGTAGAGTGCGGTGTACTGTAGTCTGTGACTTGTATAGCGCGCGCGTGTAGTGCACTACAGTGTGTACAGTGTGGCGCAGGTGGTCTGCGCGTGGAGCCGGCCATGAGTGTGTAGCTGTCAGCGCCACGAACCCGGCGATCCGAGTTCGATTCCCGCTCACGGCCAACACCGGTGACGATTATCTGAACTTGGTCGTGGGCCTCCCCTAGGTCGACTCCGCCTCAAATGAGCACCTGGTGCGGTGGGTAAACATCGCTACTGGGGGGACAAAGGTCGACCGGGCGTGGTGGTGGCCACCCATCCCCTCGTGTGCTGTGTCAGCCCTAAAAGGTGCTCGCTAATAGGCTATGCGGGGATCTTTGTCCTTTGGTGCCGACGGGAGTGTGTGTTAGTGGTGCAGGCTGTGTGTGTGTGTATGGGCCGTAGTGGTGCGAGTGAGGGGTGTACATGTATAGCTAGATTAGTGCGTGCGAGGGGCTAGTAGCCCCTCCACCTGGAACCTTTGTTTGCCAAGGCGCCACAGTGGAAACACAGAAATAAACTCGTGCTAGAGACCAGACAACATCATGGGGGGCAAGGTGGGGGACGACCCTGCTAGGGCTGCAGTGCCTCAAACACTGGCGGAAGCAGCCACCCCTTCTGAGTGGTTGGTTGAGGTTCCATCTGTGGAGGAAACGCGAGGGGCGATCTGGAGTCTGAGACCAGGAAAAGCGCCGGGCAGAGACGATCTCCCAAGCGAAATGCTGAGGGAGGGTGGCATCTGTGCGCAGACTGTCCTACATGACATCATCACAATTGTCTGGACCACTGGACGGCTTTCCGCAGGATTGGAAGGATGCCCCTGGTGGTCCCCCCTCTTTAAGAGGAGTCGGAGCCATTCCCCTGTTCACCTCTTTAAGAGGGGGCACCACCAGGTGGGGACTGCACACATTGTAACAACTACAGTGGCATCTCTCTTCTTGATATGCCGGGAAAGGTCCCGACAAGGATTATTCAACATCACCTTGCCAGCCACGTTGAGAAGAGACTTGCAGAGCCACAATGTGGTTTCAGACAAGGGCTGTCCTGCACGGACGCCATATTCTCTGTCCGTCGGCTACAGTAGAGGTGTAGAGAATTCCAACAATACCTACATCTCTGCTTTATTGACCTGGTCAAGGCCTATGATACTCTCAACAGGCCAGGGCTCTGGACTGTTATTCGTGCTTTCGGGGTGCCTAACCCTCTGCTCACAATCATTAAGGCCCTTCGTGATGGTGGGCAGGCCCGGGTAAAGCTGCGTGGGCCAGGAGTCGGAGCCATTCCCTGTACACCTTGGGGTGTGACAGGGATGCCCTCTGGCTCCCACATTATTTAACATCACCTTTGACCACGTAGTTCGAGAAGCTTTCCATGGCTGTACCGGGGGAATCTCCATATGGTAGAGATACAATGGGAGGCTGATCGATGCCTGGGTGTGGTCGTGGGATGGCTCCCTATTGGTCAACCATGCTATACATCAGGGGTCGGGAACCTTTTTGACTAAGAGAGCCATGAAAGCAAAAAATTTGGAAATTTATTTCAGTGAGAGCCATATAATATATTTTAAAAGTGAATTCAACTAAATGTCAGTATAATAAGCCTCTGAATTTATTCTTTTAAATAATGTTATAACACTCACCATTAATGCGACTTCTGGTGCTGCATGGATTTGCTGATGTCTTTGTAGTCGGGTTGGTACTTGGTGAGGTTAAGCTTCATGCAAGCGTTGAGGCTTTCATCCATTAAACGTGATCGTAGGTTGGACTTGATGTTTTTAAGATGTGAGAATGACTGCTCACATGCATACGTAGATCCAAACATGGTCAATACAGCAATACTCACACGCTGCAGTGTGTGGTATGTGACAGGAAGCGCGTTCCAAGTTTTGAGAATCAGCTGGTCTTTGGGTTGGAGTTTTTTCATTTCTGTCCACATGTGCTTGCTCGCCAACTCCGCTTTCTGTCGTGTGATTCTTTCCAAATCTTCATTCAGTGACTTGAACTTATTCACCCACATGTCTGAGGCCTTCAGGTCAGCCACTTCTGCTTCAAAATCTCTGACGGAGACACCAGGGATGTAATTCAGGTCGGCTGTGTTCAGTGAACACTCGTTTGGATGGGTGATGAACTTAAAAAGACGAGTGTGCTCACGAAATTCTCCAAAGCGTGCTTTGAAGGACTGTAGGAGACTGGATGTGCAGCCAGCTAGCTGGTGGAGATCAAGGTTTTGAATGGGCTCACTTGCTGTGCATGCATCTTTAAATTGGCTCAGTTTTTCAAAATGTAGTAAACGACCTGTTTCAAGATCCGTGATGAAAAGCTCCAGCTTGTTTTCAAAAGCAAATACAGCTTGTTGAAGGGATAACACTGTATTTCCAATGCCTTGCATTTTCACGTTGAGCTGGTTCAGATGTTCAGTCAGATTTACGCGATAGTAAAACTTGAGGAGCCACTCGGTGTCGGCTAGCTCAGGATGCCCGACGCCTTTCATTTCAAGGAAAGTCCGGATTTCGTTCAGGCAAGCCGCAAAACGGCTAAGCACCTTCCCTCTTGACAACCAACGCACATTGCTGTGCAAAAGCAGACCAGGATAGTTATTTACAACTTCATCCAGCAGTGTTTTAAACTGGCGATCATTTAAGGCTCGGGCAACAATAAAGTTGATCACACGAATGACCAGCGACATCACTTCGCCAAACTGCCTGTCACACATCTGAGCACAAAGTGCCTCCTGGTGTATAATGCAATGGAAACTTAGGATGGGTCTATTTTCATGTTCACGGAGAAGCGCCACAAATCCTTTGTTTTTCCCCACCATACACGGAGCACCATCAGTACACACTGAGAGAAGTTTATCCATAGGTAGACTTTTTTCTTGAGCAAACTCCATGAAAGACTTGAATAAATCCTCACCTCTTGTGGACCCTTTTAATGGCAGAACAGCAAGACTTTCTTCGCGCAGTGTGTCACCAACAGCATATCTTGCAATCACGCTGAACTGCGACAAATGGCTCACGTCTGTTGACTCATCCAAAGCCAGAGAAAAGAACGGCGCTGCATTTATGTCCTTCACTTGCGTTTCCTCCACTTTGTTTGCCATCACGATGGTACGATCATGAACAGTTCTTGCCGACAAAGGCATGTCTTGTATCCGTTTGATTATCTTGTCTTTGTTCGGAAGATCATCAAAAAGTTCATTGGCTACATCCAGCATGAACGTTTTAGCATACTCGCCATCTGTGAATGGTTTTCCGTTCCTCACTATTGCTAAAGAACCAGCAAAGCTAGCCGAATTATAGTCACCTTGCCGGGTCCATACGCGGAGTTGCTGCTGGCTAGCTTGCACCCTGCTCAGAAGCTCTTGGCACGCTTTCTTTCTGCTGTCTCCCGCAGGGTATTTTGATGCAAAGGTAGCGTGGCGCGTGTCGAAGTGCCGCTTTACATTCGACCGTTTCAACGATGTAATTTTGTCATTGCAAATTAGACACACCGCAGAACCCGCTCTCTCCACAAAGGCGAATTCTTCGGTCCATTCGTCCTGAAATGTACGATACTCGTCGTCTTTTTTTCTTTTCACCATCTTCTTCGTCGAAGGGTTAGCTTTGAGCTAATGACCGAGCAGACGCAGTCTCAGACTGATTCAAAAGGGGGCGTTTACCTGTTTTACCCAGCAACGGCAAACGTAGGCCAGTATCATCCAATTAAAATAATGGACAATTGCTCCTGCAGCCCTGAACAGGACATGCGCAGTGAAAAATCGATGGATGGATTAAAACAAGTGAGAATATTTTGTTTTATCTGCGAGCCATATGCAATCATCAAAAGAGCCACATCTGGCTCGCGAGCCATAGGTTCCCGACCCCTGCTATACATGCTGATGATCTGGCAATTGCTGCTCACGCAGTGGAGGAGTTGGAGGCATTGCTGCTGAACCTGGAGCGTGCTACTAAGAGGTGAGGTTTTACCATCAGCCCCACCAAAACTAAGCACCTGCGCCTGGGTATTTTGTGCCATCAAAAACTCCACCCCCTCAGCTCCCCACTGGTGATGGAGCAGTTGTGGAGAGAGTGGTGAGTTTGCCATACCTGGACAGTTTCCTTATGACCAGCTCCGGTTTGACAGCAGAGATCTCACTCCGAATTAGTGGGGCGGCATTATCTAATCATTGACTGCGTAACGCTGTGTGGAAGCTACCTGGTCTGTCACTCCGCACTAAACTTCGGGTCGTCTCGGCCAACAGTCATTCCCTCCCTTCTCTATGCTTGCGAAACGTGGACCCCTCTAATCGAACATCTTAAGGAAGATTCAGGCTGGCCTGCCTACGATCCATCCTGGGTTTAACCAAGCTGGATTGTGTGAGGAGCTCATAAATCCTTGAAAGATCTGGGCACATTCCCATCAGTGAGCTTCTCCAACAGGCAAGGCTGCGTTGGCTGGGCCGTGTAGCCCGCACGCCCAGCCACCGCATGCCCAAGCAGCTCCTGTTTGGCTGAATAGAGGGGGCTAAACGGGGATGACACGGGCTGGAAAAGAGATGGACTGATGCAGTACAGGAGGATGTGGAGCTGTGTGAACTTGCCCAAAGCTAGTACCAGCGGTGTCAAGATCGGCATCGATGGAGGAGGCTCGTGAAGGACGCTACTGGGCAGTTGGAGGCAGTCGCCCTCCAACAACAACCGAGGGCGGAGGAGCAACGCTCACAACAAAGAGCGGAGCGCCGGGCGGCTAAAACACAGCAAGCTGGTGCATCTGCCAGCCATCTCAGTCAGCCAACCCATGACACCTGCCGGGTTTGTCCCGTGACCTCCTGTCACGTGGTCTCAAAGTGTACCTGGCCCGTCACTGAGTGGCGAATAGCGGGTACTGGTGAGTGCGAGCGAGTGTGAGCGAGTGAGCGAGCGAGCGTGAGTGGTCACCCGCTGCGCAGGGCTGTGATAATGCACTCGGAGCAGAAGCGGTGCAGGCACTCCTTGGTCGTCATCGTGTTCTTCAGCATGTCCAGGCAGATGGGGCACATGAGCTCGCTGTGCAGGCTGCGCGGAGACACGGCGATCTCCGTGCCATCCGTCAGCGCCTCCTGCACACACGCGCAAAGGCAAAGATTCCACCCACCCCACCCCCCACCGTGCGGCCTTTAACAGACTGGCGGGGCAAGAGGTGTCGGCGAGAACCATTTAAAGCCGCTTTCTAGCACAGTGAGATAACCACTACACTGCCACCCATGGACACAAACATACGTGTGCACACAGAGGCTCAGGGTGTGCATGAATGAACGAGAGAGCGAATGGCTGAGCGAGTGGGCGAGTAAGCGAGCGGGCGGACGAGTGGGCGAGTAAGCGAGCGGGCGGACGAGTGGGCGAGTAAGCGAGCGGGCGGACGAGCGACTGAGCGAGCAGTGCACCTGGGGCGTGCGGTGCAGCTCGTAGAGGCTGAGCTCCCAGGTCTTGTTGGACGGGACGATGCCGTTGCCTTGAGCTGCCTGAGCCATCGCTGCCGGCATCAACACCATAGGTGACGACGGGGGGAGGTCACGCCAGGACACTCAGGAACCCTGCGCAGCAGACACACAAGACAAAGCCCGCCCGTATAGCTTCAGCAAAAGGTTGGGGCAAGTGCTGTTAGCGAGCACCCACGAAGGCCGGCAAAGGCGTAAGTGGGGGTGGGTGGCCGGCACCACAGGCGGCCATCTTTGCCTCTGTAGCGGCGATGTTTACACATGGCACCGGGTACTCGTTTGCAGCTGAATGAACCCAGGGGAGGTCCAGGACCGGTTCAGATCATCGTCACTGACATTGGACGTGAGCGGGAACAGGATCTGGGTCACTGGGCTCGAAGCGCCGCGTGCTAACCACTACACTGCCGTTCCACGCAAAACCCACGTGCAGAACAGCACAAGCACAATGCAGCGTCGAAATCACTCATCGGCTACAAGATCCACCACGTTCTCGCCCCTAACCTCTCTCCTCTCATCCCGCTGCGGTTGCTGCTTTTTTTCATTTTCCTTCCTCGATTTATATTTGCACAATTTTTTGCTGCTACATTATTTCTTTGGCAATTTTTCGTGAACCCGGGTCACACTCGCAAATGAGCCTACCCTGGCGCCTCGGGTTCTCACATTGGTGAAACAAAATCAGATTGAAGACTGCCAATGAGTGTGCGAAAACTTGAAGTTGTCATTGATCTACAGCTCTTGTTGCCTTCTCACAATGTCAACTCCATGATAAAAGTTTTGTTGAGTTAGATCGTTTAAATTCAATTGGGTCGTTAAACCCACCACCACCCAACACGGCCAATTAGTGGTGAGGTTTGCCGTGTAAACAAAACATCAATTCGTTACTAGTACAGCAAAACACCGGCGTGTTGGAGAGCAAATTCACAACGTTGACAATCTGAAGTTACTACTTCAGCACACCAGTGCATTTGAGAGTGAACCCACAACATTTACAATTCGAGTATGTTGTTTTGCTGGTGATTACAGACAGATTCATCAGGCGATAGCCAGAAATGTTAAGAAATCTTCCTGCTTCGGTCTTATATAGACTAATAAAGGCGAGCTCATCAATGTGAGCTCACCTTTATGTTGACGATTTTTGACCCCTCCCCGCTCCCCCATCGTCACACGGCGTCACAAAAAGTGAGACCCCCCCCCTCAAATATGACGTCACAAAGCCCTGCCCCCCCCCCCCAAAAAAAATATATAAACATGCTTCAAATCGCTTTAAACTATTGTCACTGTAGTGCGTGTTTAATGTGGCGCTGCACTCTGATGTTGTAGGAGAAAAAAACATTTATTAAAAAGTCTATTTAATAAAGTAGAACGTGTTGCACATATGTATTTATAAAGTTGCGCATTTTGATGTGACGTCACATTTCTCAAACCCCCCCCACCCTCGTCACACATCGTCACAGATGTCTGTGCTGGAACTATTATGGTTGGGTTATTCACAGTTAACGCACGTGCATTCACGTACGTCGTGCGTTACGTTGATCTGAAAATATGCAGTGCCTAATGTTGCTGCGCCGCTGATCAACGTAGAGTGGAATGTTTAACACGTGGTAGGCTTTCGCGACCAATATTATTCATAATAACGGTTTTTGGGTTAGAGCGCGTTTATTTATAAATGTGTCGTAACCCTCCACCACCCGACACGGCCAATCAGCAAGAAAAAAAGTGTCACGTTGACAAAAGACAAATAATTCACTACTTTAGCCCACCGGTGTGTTGAAGAGTGAATCCACATTTACAGTTTGAGTACGACGTTTCGCTGGTAAATACTTCCAGCATCATCGGGCAATTTACCATTCTCATCATCGGGCAATTTACCATTCTGGCGAATTGCCCGATGATGCTGGAAGTATTTACCAGCGAAACGCCGTACTACTCAAACTGTAAATGTGGATTCACTCTTCAACACACCGGTGGGCTAAAGTAGTGAATTATTTGTCTTTTGTCAACGTGACACTTTTTTTTTTGCTGATTGGCCGTGTCGGGTGGTGGAGGGTTACGACACATTTATAGCAGCCAAACACACACACACCAAGTCCCTGCATAGGCATGCGATTAGACAGCGCATCACTTGCTAAAACCCGTCAATCTGTGATATCGACTCCCCTGGCCAAGTCCAGGCTCAAGATCTTCCCTTTGGAGCCTCTACCTGTGGACGGACGGCCTCTCTCTAAACGAAATGCACCAAGTGTTTGTGTAGTGTCCGGAGCGAGGAAGATTATGGCCGATTTCTCCCACCCTGGACACTCTCTGTTTCAGCTACTCCCCTCCGGCAGAAGGCTTCGGTCCATCAGGACCAAAACCTCACGCCATAAAAACAGTTTCTTCCCATCTGCTGCTGGCCTGTTAAACAAGGCCAAGGGCTAACACTGTTTTTAACATTTGATCTACATAACGACACCTTGCCGATATTAACTATGTTACCCTATTTGTATTTTTTATTTTAAATTATATCTTAAAGCTATTTTATATTCGATATTTATTTAATTTTATATACTTCAGCCCCTTGGTGTTAGACTTTTAACCCTTATTATAGTAAGACTTGTTTAAAACTTATTTAAGATTTTAGATTCCCATATGTTGAATGTATGCACCATCCTGCCAAAGTAAATTCCGTGTCGGTGTGAACTTACATGGCGAATAAAACCCTTTCTGATTCTGATTAGATGCTGTATGACATTCATACTGGAGTGTACATTGTGTCATGTGGTTTTTACTCGTCAGGGGGATGGGAGAGCTATAACCAGAGCCACAAAGCCGGTTAAC